TTTTAGATCTCAGAACATCAGCCAGAGAGAGCTAAATCACAAGGGTACTGTAGTCTGCTGGGATTCAATTCGGAATATCCAGGCAAAAGAAGACAAGGAGGATCTGCGTTTTCATTGTTTATCAGAATTGTATCTCATTTGGCTATATATTACTTGTGTTAGAATGTGTTATTTGTAAATCCATGTGTAGTGAAATTCTTGTGAAACTTCGGATTAAAAGGTACATATGATATAAACCAAACCAAACCAAACCAAAAACAATGCTGTTGTTAGGTGACATTAAGGCCCCTACAATTCACAGCAAGCCTATGAAGGACACTTTCCCTAACCAGCACATCCTCACCATCTCCGATATGCTCAAGCCCATTGTCTTGACTCTAAGGCGTGTCCTGGTTGAACTTCCTCCAAGACAAACTTTTTTATTCTTTTGGAATCTGTGAGATATTCCGTCAGTACTCTTCTCCAACACCACAACTTAATGGCATTGATTCTTCTGTCATCTTTAGTCACTGTCCAACTTTCAGATGCTTGGGAAATAATCAGAAAGACTATAGCTTGGATTAGGTTTAAAGATTATAGTCTTTAAACTGATGTAATTGTTTGTTTTTAGAACTTTGGAGACGTCCTTGACAGCAGATTTCCCCATTGCAATATGTCTTTTCATTTCTTGACTCATAGTACCAAGGATGTTTATTATGGAGCCAATAAAATGAAATAGTTGACAACTTCAATATTTTCTCCATCTATCACAGGGTTGTTTATTGGTCCAGGAATGAGGATTTTTGTTTTCTTGTTTTTATTATGTAATCCATATTGAAGTCTCTAATCTTTGATCTTCTTCAGTAAGTGCTTCAAGTCCTCTTCATTTCAGCAAGCAAGGTTGTTGATGAGTCTTCCTCTAATCCCGATGCCACATTCTTCTTCATGTAGTCCAGCTTCTTGAATGATTTGATCAGCATAACGATTAAATTGAATAGGAGTCGAGGAAGGATACAACCTTGATGCACACCTTTCCTTATTTTAAACCATGCAGTGTTCTCTTGTTCTGTTCAGACAACAGCCTCTTGGTCTAGGTATAAGTTTCACATGAACACGATTAAATGATTCTGAGATTCTCATTCTTCTCAATGTTAGTCATAATTTGTTATGGTACACAGTCAATTGGTTTGCACAGTCAATAAAACATAGATGAACATCTTTCCAATTTCCTTTTCTTTCAGTCAAGATCCATCTGTCCTCACCATTTATCAGAACTCTCCTCCATTTTATGGCAGGTTTTTAATTGTGGCCCCTATGTTTTAATGAAACAGTGCTTATTATGTTAAGGAAGACTATACGGGTTTTACCATGAGGCAGAATTAGGATGTGATGCAGTATCAGCATAGTTACTTAGGTTAATGTTTGGACCAAGGTGAAGTTCCCTATGACATGGCCTCTTTCATCTTTTATCTTAAGAAAAAGGAAAGAGTAGTACACTGAAGGGAGAAATTTCTCATGTGCAACTTTTAATTGAAGTGGAAAACATTTGACCCACAGAACCAAAATATGACATTGAATCTATTCCGTTGAATTTAAGAATCATTGCAAGAACAGGTTCGAGGCATTGAACATTAATGATCGAAGACCACAGGAACTACAGGAGTACATCAAAGCTATCATCCATAAAGAGAGCAAAAGGTCATTGCAGAGAAGGAAGAGAAAGGAAAAGAATGGGTATCAGGAAAGACTATGAAAATTGCATTAAAGCATCGAGAAGGCAAAACAAAATGAAGATGTGCCAAAGTAAAAGAAATTGAACAAGAGATTTCAAAACATAGCTTGAGAAGATAGAGCAAAATATGATAATGAAATATGCAAAGAGCTGGAGTCAGAAAAAAAAGAACTCATTTAGCATTTCTCAAGCTGAAAGAATGGGAGGGGGGAATAAAATTCAAGCCTCGAGTTTTAATACTGAGAGATTCTATGTGCACAATCTTGAATGATCCAGGAAGCTTCAAAAGAAGATTGAAGGAATACACAGAATTGCTATATCAAAAAGAGTTAGTTGACATTAAAAAATTTCAGAAGAACTAGATGAGCAAGGGACAATGATAATGAAGGATGAATTTCAAGCTGTTCTGAAGCCATTGGCAACAAATAATCCCCAAGAATTAATAGAATATCAATCAATTGGCATATTTCACCAATTCATGCCAGGAAATTTGGAGGACAGTTTGATTGACTTGAAGAGATCCATATTTGTCACCATTTCTAACTGAAGTGATCCAACAGAATGTGGACTTTATCAAACAATATTACTAATATCTCATGTAAGCAAAATATTGTTGAAGATTATGTAAGAATAGCTAGGATAGAACTTTGACAGAGAACTATCAGAAGTTAAAGCTGGTTTTAGATGAGGCCATGGCAGCAGGGATATCCTTGCTGATGTCAGATGGATGCTGGTTGAAAGCAGAGAATATGAGAAGAATGTCTTGTGTTTTATTGATTGTCCAAAAGCATCTGACTCTGTGGATCATAAATTATGGTTCACATTTAGAAGAATGGGAATCCCACAACACTTAATTGTGCTCATACAGAACATATAGCTAGACCAAGAAGCTGTTGTCCAAATGGCAAGAGAATATTCCATGGTTTAAAATCACGAAGGGTGTGTATCAGGGTTTTATCCTTTCTCGATACCTATTCAAACTGTATGCTGTATTCAAATTATTTATGAAGCCAGATTCTACGAAAAAGAGTGTGGTATTAGGACTGGAGGAAGATTCACGAATAATTGATGACACGATTTTGCTTGCTGAAACTGAGAAGGATATGAAACACCTGCTGCAGAAGAGAAAGGACTACAGCTTTGGTACGCATTACATCTCAGCACCAAGAAAAGAAAGGTCCTCACCACAGAATTAACAACCAATTTTAGGCTAGATGTAGAAAGAATGAAAGCTGTCAATGATTTCCTTTTATTTGGATCAACAGTCAACACCATTCATACCAAAGGTCAGGAAATCAGGAAATGCATCAGGCAAGTCCACTTTCAGCAACCTCTTCAAAATGCTGTAGAGCAATGATTTCAATTTAAAGACTAAAGTGGACCTGATTCAGGCCATGGTTTTCTTAATCACCTGTTATACATCAGAGAGCTAGACAAGGAATAAGAATGACAGAAAATTGATGCCTTTTTGTTGTGGTGTTTGAGAAGAGTACTGACTACCCCAACACACAGATATGTCTTGGAAAGGGTACAGCCAGAGTATTTCTTGGAGGTAAAAAATGGCAACGTTTCATCTTTCAAGCTTTTTTTTTCTCTTCATCTTTCATACTTTGGAGATATAGCTAGGTGAGGCTATTCCTTGGAAAAGGGACTTTGTGCTTGGAAAGATAACGAGTCAGAAAAGAAAAAGACCCTCAATAAAGTGAATCGACAAGGTGACTTCAGCAATGGGCTTGAATGTTTCAGAGATTGAGAGTCTGGCACAGGATAGGACAAGGTTCAGATTTGTTGTTTAAAAAGTCACTCACTATGAGTGGTACTCAACTTGATGGCACCTAACATTAATAACAACAAAAATAAGAGCTGGTAGTGGAACATGCTTTTTGGAGCCAGGATTCCAGTGCTGAAAACCTCTTAGATCCTGGGTAAGAACGAAGCTAAGGTAAATAGCGATCTCTGAGGAATGGTGGGCCCACAGATACTGAATTGAACAGGTCTCTTTCCCTAGAGCTGACAAAGAGAAAGCCTTCCCCTAGAGCTGGCACTCTGAATTTATACTTACAGTCTTATAAACTGTGAAAGAATAGGTGTCTTGTTTGTTAAAACCATCCACTTGTATTGTTTCAGTTATAGCAGCACCAGTTAATAGAACAGGAAGTTTCCTCTGTTTTTCACTTTTTAAGATTAGAACCTCATCAAATTTCTTAAGCCATCTCACAATCTTTTTCTTGTGGTTGGTTAAATTAGAGAACTAAGAAATGTCTCCTCTCTTCCTCAGAAGCAGTTTTACTCCTCTCAAGTTTTATGTATACTCTTTCTTCTTAGATCAGATAGACTTAGAGTAGGTTATAACTGGGAGCATGAAAAGAACAAAAGATACTGTTTTCTTTCACTTTATAATATTGTATCAAAATATTTTCAAGTTCAAGTATTTTTTTGAAGTAAGCCAATTGTGTGTATTAACTCTTTTGGTAAATCAACCGGTTTTTTTTTTTTGTTGTGTTGATATTAATCTTGCTTTAATTTTCTTTCTTATTTAATGCATACGCAAATCCTTTATTTGCTTTTTAACTACAGCAACACTTTGGGCAGGTATGTACTTACTGTTTTTTGATGAATGCTTCATTGCTCTCTTTTGTAGATGATTCTTACTGTGTATTCAGTGACATTAAATTCCAGGGAAAATTTCAAATGTCATACCTGTTTGCAAGAGCACATAGAGCCATATTTTATATTTTAGGACTTATATAGATTAGTATTTTATATGTTAATACTTTGTTTTCAGTGATTACTTACCTTTTGAAAGTCTCATAAGGTAAGGATCCTCTCTTTAAATAAATACACAAAATTTTAAATAGACTTTCAAGGTGTTTTCATCACAGGTTCTGAATTTTGGTCCTGTACTAATGACTATTTTTAAGGGACATAATTTATATATTTATTCATTCTCTTAGAAATTTTTTTAATTCAAAGCATAACATACATTCTAATAACATCACTTAAGAAGGAAGAATACTTTTAAGAAGAGCTTTTCATATTTAAGTAAAACTTAAAATTAAAAAGAAGACATCTTAAAATTACATGTTAGAGTGATTGTTATTTAACAATAAGTACTTCTTAGAGAATTTTCTACCTAACAGCTTTTTAGTATGAGATGAAGTATACACGTACTTTTGCTTAGATTTAGGAGATAGGAAAAGCTGCATAATTAGCTGTTATCCACTGTATAAAATATAATTTCATCTTATAAACTCTTTTGACTCCTAATTAGCATCTTTTTGCTTTGTAGGTATGGAACACAATCATTGGTTACTCTAGCATATATTATAGGAAGTTCCATGAGCACAGATTTGCAGATCACAGAGGTAAGTACTTGATTTGTTCAATAACTTGTAAATTACTTTTTATATAATTATTTTGGATGTTGTTTTTTTTTAAATTTTAATAAAAGTTTACAGAGACTTAGGGTTTCCAGTCATTCATTGTTGCACTTTTCTCCCTACCTATCGCTTCCCCCCAATTCACTCTTCTCCTTGAAAAAGTAAAAGAAAAATTCTTTCATTGTTATGCAGTCCCTTCCCCCAAGTCCACTTCACTATGCAGCCTTCATTCTGGACTTCTGTAATGACAGTAATACCCAATCATATATGCCTTTTAAACTGTTCTCTCCCTCATCTGTTTCAATACAATATACATAATTCCTCCCCTCCATTTCTGTCTTCCCTCAACCGTGATGTCAGCCTCATTTTAAAACAGTGGCCCTATGCAATATTTGTCCTTTTGTGATTGAGATATTTCACTCAGCATAATGTCCTCTAGGGTCATCCATTTTGCATAATATTTCATGAGTTCCTTGTTTTTCAATGCTGCATAGTATTCCATTGTGTGAATATACCAGAGCTTCTCTGTCCATTCATTTGTTGATGCGAACTTGGGTTGTTTCCAGCTCTTTGCTATTTTGACAAAGCCACAATAAACACGGGTGTGCATATATCGGTTTGGGTGGCAGTTATGGTTTCTTTGGCGTAAATTCCCAGTAGTGGAATTGCTGGGTCAAATGGTATTTCTATTTGCAACTTTTTGAGAAAGCGCAATACAGAGTTCCATAGTGGTTGCACCATTTTACACTCACACCAACAATGAATAAGATTTCTGGTTTCTCCACAACCTCGCCAGCATTTGATGTTTGCTATTCTGTTAAATTTTGCTATTCTTACTGGGGTGAGATGACATCTCATAGTTGTTTTGATTTGCATCTCTCTTTGAGCTAGGGATTTTGAACATTTCTTCATGTGTTTGTTTGCCATCTGACTGTCTTCTTTGTCTGTTCATATCCTGTATCCACTTTTCAATTGCGTTATTTACCTTTATCTTGTTGTGGTGCTCAAGTATTTTATAAATTCTAGATATAAGTCCCTGTCTGACATGTCATTACCAAATATTTTTTTCTAATCTGTAGCTTCCCTTTTTATCCTATTGGAGAACTTTTTAGATGTGCATAGGGATTTAATTCTTAGAAGGTCCTAGTCATCTATTTTATCCTCTCGTGGTTGTAGATTTTCCAGGATGCTTTGAAGACTGTTTATGTTGTGAATTAGGACTTCTAGAGTTCTTCCAAGCTTTTCTTTAATAACTTTATAGTCCTTGATTTTACTTCTAGGTCTATAATCCACTTTGAATTGGATTTTGTGTATGGAGTGAGGTGTGGATCTCACTTGAGTTTTCTGCAGATAGTTTTCCAATTTTGCCAGCACCATTTCCCCACTTAACTGATTTCATCTCCTTGTCAAAAATCAGTTGACCATAGGTAGACGGGCTGATTTCTGGATTCTCAATTCTATTCCATTGATCTATGTGTCTGTCATTGTACCAGTACCATGCTGTCTTGACCACCTTGGCAGGTTAGTAGGATTTAAAATCAGGGAATGAGATGCCTCCTACCTTGTTTCTCTTTTTTAAGGAGTGCTTTGCTTATTCTGGGCTTCTTTCCATTCCAAATGAAATTGGAGATTGCCTTTTTCATCTCATTGAAGAGTAGAATTGGTATTTTTATTAGGATTGCATTGAACGTGTAAATTGCCTTTGGTAGTATTGTCATTTTCACAATATTGAGTCTTCCTAACTCTAAGCAAGGGATATTCTTCCACCTCTCCAGTTCTTTTTTTGTTTCTGGTAATAATGTCTTGTATTTTTCTTTGAACAGATCCTTTATGCTTCCAGTTAAGTTTATTCCTAAGTATTTAATCTTGTAAGTGTCTATTAATCTTATTTCATCTATTGTGAAGGGTATTTTTTTTTCAGCTCTGGTTCTGAATTCTCTTTGTCACTGTAGACAAACCTAATTGATTTTTGTATGTTGATCTTGTATCCTGCCATTTGCTGAATTGGTCAACTATGTCCAGTAGTTTTCTTGCTTAGTCTTTAGGGTTTTCTAAGTATGCTATCATATCATCTGCACAGAGAGATAATTTTGTCTCCTCTTTGCCAACTTGGATACTTCTTATTTCCTTCTCTTGTCTTATTGCTATCACTAAGACTTCCAATACAATATTGAATAGGAGAGGTGATAGTGGACATCCTTGCCTAGGTGCTGTTCTCAAGGGGAATCCTTTAATCTTTCTCCATTGAGAACAATGTTGGATCTCAGGTTTGCATATATACTTTTGATTGTGTTAAATAAATTCCCCTCTAAATCCATTTTGTTGAGTGTTTTAATCAGGAAAGGGTGTTGGATTTTGTGAAAAGCATTTTCTGCATCAATTGATAGGATCTTGTTCTTTGTTAATATGATGAATTACATTGATTCTTTTTCTTATATTGAACTATCCTTGCACACCTACTATGAATACCACTTGGTCATGATGAATTATTTTTTTATGTACCATTGGATTCTATTGGCCAAGATTTTGTTCAGGATTTTTTCATCTATGTTCATGAGAGATATTGGCCTAATTTTCTATTTTGGTAATCAAGGATATGTGTGCTTCATAGAATGAGTCTAG